TCATTGTATGTAGAACCTCAGTTCCTAATAGAAACGCCTCCTATGAGGAGACTGAAAAATAAAAAGGGTCCATTGGGAATTTAAGGCAAGGGATTGCCAAAAATGATTTTAAAAAGCGATAGGCTAAAGGTGAGACCCCAACTTGGAACACCTCGATTATGTGTTTCACTACAAAGGTTATGTGTTTCGATTGTGTGTTTCACCACAAAGGTGTTATTCAAGGGATTTACTTTACTGGCAGCAATTTCATTCTCTCTCTTGTCGACCTTGAGGCAATGATTCCCTTATTTAAGGGGATTCTTTAAAGAGGCTTATTAAGAAATTTTTTGTTCAAAAAATATTTTTATCAATGTATCCAGTCTAAAATAAATCCTTGCTATTTAAGAAGCTTCCCACCTCTTTTTTATACTTCTTTCCTCGGCCTGGAATGGAAAGAATTTTTTCGTTTTTTCGAGAAAATTAGAGATGGATTGCCTGTTTTTTTCTATCAAAAACACTTCAATTTTAAAATAAATTCCTTAATTTATCAAAATACGCCGCAATTTTTTTTGTTTTGCTGGCCGGTTACTCACACTTTAATGGCGCCGGCGCCTTCCCCCAAAAGGGTGGAATGATATAGGGAATGTTGTTTTGCCCGCTCCGATCGCCCCTTTAAACTACTAAAAATTTTTCAGTCATTCCCGGATGTTGTGTGGTTAGGGAAGGGGGGATAGAAGGAGGGGGGAGGGTGGATAGAAGGATGGGGGGAGGGGAGGGAGGGGGGATAGAAGGGAGGGGAGTGGGTGTTGTTTGTTTGTTGTTGTTGTTTGGGAGAGGACGGTGTTGGGCAGCGCAGGATGCCAAGATCTAGGTCAACATCAACACTTTGGTGGCTGAATAGAAAAAAGGAGGGGAAGGGGTGATTTGAAAGGTGTATAGGAGGTAAGAGGCACTGACTAATTTAACTAAAAATTAAATGACTGGATAAAGAACAGATTCTTGAATGATTTTAGCAGTTTTATATTGTTTATTACCGGCTTAATTTTCATTCAACGTACTTTGTATTAAGGGGCGTGCCAGTTTAGCCTTTCGTTTTTCTACTTTAGAATTGTAAAAATTTTTCAGTACACCTCTGATTTCCAGTCGAACCTCGCTTTATACACCTTTGGTTCTAAAAAATCGTACCTTATAATGAAGGTCTCCTAAATTGAGGGTAGCTTCCAGAGGCTATCTTAAGGTTCCTAGATAGTGGTTGAAGTCCGACTGCATTTTTGGTCCGAATTTTTAAAACCCTATAAGTCTTTATTCATTCAGTCATTTAATTTTTTAGTTAAATTAGTCAGTCAGTGCGTAATTAATCATAATACCAAAAATCTAAAGAAAAAAGACCAAAAATCTAAAGAGATTTTACAGCTTTTTGGCCGCTTGTAATTTTCAGCCTGTTAGCAAAGCTCTGTCAGCCTGTTATCAAAGCTCTGTTATCTTTTATTTATCTCTCTTTTGTATTTAATTAAGGCCCAAATCTGTTAATAAGAAGATTAGAAAAATAAAAAAAATTGAAAATGGATGGACTTTTCTTTAACAGCTTGAATGGACGAAAAGGGGGTAGATCTGTTTTACCATTGTCCAGCCTACTCAAGAGCCATAACTCAACGTAAAAATGTCATAGCAAGTTGTTTTAGGTGGCATCCGATGCGGCTCGACGAGTTACGCCTAAATATGCCTAAATTGTCTATATCTGACTTTCATAAGTCTAGCTATAAGCTTTGAGGTAAGCTAGGGTGAGGGGTTGATCTACAGGAGTAACTGGATCTACAGGAGTAAAAGTCTGATTGAAATAGAGGTTTATTGGCCGTATAAACTAGAAAATACACTTTTAAATATTTAAAAGCCTTTAAAATATTTTAATAATTAAAAGACCAAGAATCCAAAATAAAGAAAATTTAGAAAAATAAAACAACAGATTTTACAGCTTTTTGGCCGCTTGTAATTTTCAGCACGTTAGCAAAGCTCTATTAGCTTTTCTTTTATTTATCTCTTTTTTGGGTCCAAATCTGTTGATAGAAATAATAGAAAAAAGAAAAGCTTGATTGGACAAGGTATGGGGACTTGTCTCTCTCTTTTTAGCATAATAGGACTATTATAAATAGCTTCTAGCAATAAACAAACAATAAAAACAAAAAACAATAGAAACAACAATAAGAATGGTTTAATACTTGCCAAAAGCAAAAATAAAAATAATAAGCTAGCTCTCTCTCTTCGCACACCTTCGCGCACATAATTTCCGAAAATGGAGCCTAAAAAGAGGGGGAGAAGGAAAGGAACGAATGAAGGGGGAATGAGAGGGGGAAGGAGAGGGAAGGGGGAAAGATTTGTTAAAAAAAGAAATGGCTAGTTGATTATTTTAATTATTTATATCTGTCATTAAGAGAAGGTAAATAAAGGAGAAAATTAGTAAAAAAGGTAAGAAAAAAGGAAGAAAGCCGCTTTTTGTTTAAACATAAAAAAACTTTTTTAAGGGAGAACCGCCCTGTTCTGATTTTTATATTTATAGGTAGGTGGATATTTTGGGGATTTTTAAAGAACAGGAAATAAATTAAAAGGATATATTTTTTAATAAGAAAATTATTTAAAGGTGTAGGTAACGGATGTTGTAAACCGTAAAAGGAGAAGGAGCTTAGCAAATAGCAGTGGGTGATCGAGCGTTAGCAAAGCTCTGCATCGGAGAGCTCTCAGAATCAAGCCTGGACCGAAGAACAGAAAAGCTTGTCGAAATTCGAAAATAGAAAAAAATGAACAAAAATCTGAGGATCGATACAGCTCAGTCGGGAGCAGGCCAGTGTACCGCGAGCCCAATGTACCGCCGAGCTATAACCTTTTCCAAAATTGTCGGATCCGTGGCGCCCTGGTATGGTTCGATTCAGCTGGTCGAGACGCATCGAACCATACCAGGGCGCCACGGATTCGACAATTTTGAACAAAGTTATATACATCGGGGTGTACCCAGCTCAGTCTATACATCGGGAATTCGCGACGAATATTGGGTTAGGAATCCCCCACTCACAAAAATCGGGAACCTATGTATATTTTTAATAAAATTTAACAATAAAAATGTCATATTTTTGATTTAATTGAATTAAAAAAAACTATTTTTCTACTTAAATTAAAAAATAAATAAACATAAATGTCCCCCTTTCCCCATTCCCTCTTCCCCCTTTATTTTTTTTTCTTCAAGTCTCCCCTCCTTTTTAATCGCTCTCAGTTCACGGCCTTGGAGGTGCAGAATAAATATATTTATTTTTAGGCTGTCACCTAGCACCTCCGCGACACAAAAACCAAAAATCCGTTTGTCTTTACTGATCCGTTTAATGTCAAGAAGAGAGACTTTGTGGTGGCTTGCAGCACGCGACTTTTTAGTGCGCCTAATTTTAATTTTTTAGTCCAAATTTAGAAGAGTAATAAAAACATCTATTAAATATTGAGTGGGCCCTAACTCTAGGGTACCCCCTTGAGTGGACTCTCACTATAGTGGACCCTCACCGTACCTTATAATGAGGTGTATACTAAATAGAGGTTATCGGTTGACAACTCCTCTACCCAACAGCCAACCAATTTTAAAAAGCGTATATTAAATAGAGGTGTATCTTTTATTGGAGGAATCGTACAGACGGACCTCTTTTCAAGATACACCCAATATTAGATACACCTCTATTTAAGATACGGTTTTAAAATTTGGTTGGCTAGTGAATGGGGGAGCTGCCTAAGCGATAACACCCAATTTAGATTATTATAAAAAGGAGGTTTGATGGTGTAACTTTAATTTTGGTCAAATAAAAAATCAAAATTTTTTTCTGTCCTTGACCAGAAAAAAAACTTTTTGAGAAAAAATTTAAAAAAATCGGTTCTGGGACTGATTCAAAAAATAAATTGGGTTAGTGGGCTATGGCTCTTTTTCTTTCGTTAATCTACGACCCTAGCACAACAACTTTTTTTATATTTTTTTACTAGGGAATTGTCGCGCATGGAAAGTATAGGGGGTTTTTTTTAAAAGAAATATTTTTAAATTAAAGTCAGTCAATTTTTAAACTAATTTTAAAGCCACCCTCAATATAAGGCGGGAACTTGGTTCAAATACTAAAACTGAAAAATATCTTGATTAGAGATCACGATCAAGAATCTTGGAAACTAGAAACAAAACATATTTGTTAGTAATGATTAGAGTTCGGTTTCGGACCGAACTGAAACGAGGAACCGATGATTTTTCGGTTTGGTACTTCGGTTCGGCTTCGGATATCCGAAAAATTTCCAGGAACCGACAACCCTAGTGATGATCAATGTTTGGAATATTGAAATATGTGATTGAATGGGACTTGATTCTCGGGGCTCTCCAAAGCAAGGTTGCTACTAACCGTTCAGCTATCCCATCAACTAGTAACCCTCTTTTTATTTTTGCTTCAAAATCGAAATTTCGAAACAGCTTAATTTTAACTTAAATCCCTATAAAAGGGGTATCTGTTAATTTAAAATTAGCCAAAAGAAAAAATTTTTTGGACTAGGCAAGGTTGACCCGCTCAAGTTATTTTTGATAGTTTTCTTGGTATTGAGAAAAAAATCCTTGGAATTATATCTTATTAGCCAGGGCTCTTATTGAAAAAATTAAAGTTAAAATACAAAAAGTTCATTTATATGAACAGTACTTCCAAAATAAATACGGATCAGAGCCCTATTATAAATAAATAATATCTAAAAAATAATGAGAATAAAAAATATTCCAAAGAAAAATTTAAAAAAAAAACAAATTAATTTCAAAAAATATTTAAATGGATGGCCTTGCCCTAAATATAAATTTTTTCATTTAAAATAAGGTAAAGGAAAAATATTAAAATTTTAATTAAAAAAACGCGGGAAAAGCAGATTAAACGAATATTCTTCTTCCCCCTTATTTCCTTAAAAAAGCAAAAAATAAGGTGGGTCACGGACAGAAAATTTAGAAAAAAATTAGAAAAATAAATTAATTAACGGATAAAGGCGCAGAATTTAAAGGATGGGTACGAAGGTCAATATCAAATCCGAAGGGAAGACGTCAGAAAAAAGACCACCCCCAACATAACAATAACCCAATTATTTTGAAAAGGAATGCTAAAAATGTAGAACAATGAATTAGACATAAGGGGAAGAAGAAGATCCAGCAAAGGCTAAAAAGGAGGTTAGGTAGGGGGCTGTAGGGGGTTAAGGATTTATTAAAGAAAGCAAAATAGCTGCCCCGGTGAGTCAGCATATCTGTTTAAAGGAGGTGAACAAATGAGCAAAGTATACCTTTAAGGTATTCAGATGATATGAGTGGACAATCAAAATCATAAGGGAAGGAAGAAGATCCAGTAAAGGCTAAAAAGGAGGTTAGATAGGGTTTAAGGAATATCTGCCCCAGGTGAGTCAGCATATCTGTAAATAGGAGGTGAGCAAAGTATACCTTTAAGGATTCGAATGATTGAGAGGACAAATAAAAATGATTTAAAAATCTTCCAAATTTCAATAAAAAAGGAGATTCCTTTAGAAAGGCTGAAAATTGTAAGTAAAAGACGAGGGCTGTCTAACATTGAGAATATCTCATGGATGCTCCCCCAACCAATGGCTAATCAGTCACCAGTCTTTCTTTGTACAGAATCTGGGCTCATATCCTGGGCTGAAGTTTTTTTTTCGATTTGTTCATACTGGCAGAATATTGTATTCACACGAAAATGACCTCCTTTTAGTCTCCCAATTTTGAAAGTTTCAGTAGAGTTTTTATGAGTTTTAGCGTTAATTTTGTCAAACATACTCCTGAGTGACTCCCGTTATAAGAGACATAACTCTCGTTATAAGAGACATCTCCTGAGACATGACTCTCGTTATAAGAGACATCTCCTGAGACATAACTCCCGTTATAAGAGACATCTCCTGAGTGACTCCCGTTATAAGAGACATAACTCTCGTTATAAGAGACATCTCCTGAGACATAACTCCCGTTATAAGAGACATCTCCTGAGTGACTCCCGTTATAAGAGACATAACTCTCGTTATAAGAGACATCTCCTGAGTGACTCCCGTTATAAGAGACATCTCCTGAGTGACTCCCGTTATAAGAGACATCTTATAATTAAGTTTGACATCATACGATAAATCTTTTAGGGTAGCAACTTGACTTCCGAAACCCCGACCCAGATCCCGACGATTTTTTTGGCAAACCCCCCAACCTGAACCCTGAAGTACCCCAACAAACCCCCCTAATAATATGTATATACAGCAGGGGTGTGCCAGTTTCGCGTTTCGCCTTTCGCGGAATTTCGCCTGATTCGGCACACCTATAATATACAGGTAATTAATATTCTTTTTATCATTAAATTATTTAATTTATATTCAAAGCTTTCCAAGCACTTTCTACCCAAAAAACTTCCTTATTCACTCTAAAATTAAGAAAAAAAAATTTTAAAAAACTATCGGCGAATGTTGTACTGTTTTTGTTGAATATTTATTTTTGTCTATTAATTTTTTTTCAAAAAATTTTTTTCAATTTTACTTTCAATTTTGCGCACTTCACAATTTATTAATTTAATTAAAAATGATTAATTACTGTCTGAGACTGTTTCTGTAAAAATGTCGAGGTCATAAATTTTAATAGCAAGTGAAAAAACAACAATAAATTTAAGGCTTTTTACTATTTTTTTAAGAAAATATTTTTTTAATATTTTCCCCTCACTGTAAGGTACACCTTAAAGGGTCTTAAGTGAGGCTTACAATGAAAGATATCTTAAATAGAAGGTTGTCAGGAGTATGGAGAGCTTATCTTAGTAGCATGGTTACTAGTAGATCTCCCCCCCCCCTCCCCCCGTTGATAATGGTCGTGGAAAATTTTATAAGCTGTAGATACTATCTAGAATAGAACCTTCATGAGGAAAGGAGACCTTCGGAGGGGCAGGGTTCCTACTTCCATCTTCCAGTTTTAACGGTTTTATTCGGATTTAAGCATATGGTCAAGCTCCAATTTTCAATTTGTCTGATTTGATGTCTGATTTTAACAAGGATACAACACAAAACTAGTGCTTGGACTAATAAAATTAATACTCATCCCTGAGTAAGGGTCTAGAAAGTTTTTTTAAGTTTAGCCACCGGGGCCCTTATTATAAGAACGTGGTTCGTGGATTCGTGGCTTTCTCTTTTATCCGTAAGTTTAGTTAACCCCCGCCTAAGTGCTTCAAATGTTGCTAGGCGAATCATCCTTACACCTGATACGAAGCAAGAACACGATCGAAAATAAAAATGTATGTACGAGTACGAGGAAAAGGCAAAATTAGGGGTAGTACGAATATGAGCAAAAATCGAGATGTCCTATCACTTCACGAAACTATACTGATATGAAGCCAAAACTGGACGATTTTCGATATCCAACACTTCTGATTTTTGATGTCGTCGATCATCATTTCAACCCCATATATAGATGCAAATAATAGCCGAGTTGTGCTTCTAACTAATCCGACGATGGGTATTTACTTTATTCATATCTTTCTAAAAATATGGGTACAACACTAAACCTTGATAAAAAAAAAACTCGAAATGTCCAAGCACTCTACTAACTCTATTGTTAATTATAATTTTCCAAAAAAAATTTTTTTAATTAAAATTTTTATTATTTACTCATCCACACAAAAATAAAAAACAATAACAAAGCAAAAATAAACAAAAGAACCACCAACAATAAACCAGTTGCCACACCCACGGGGCTTAATCCCATTATTTTTTCTCTCGTTTATTTTAAATATAGCCATAAATTTACACCTTTAACGGGCTTCTGGCAAGTTTTTTAGGAAAAAAATTTTTAGGAAAAAAGGTAAAAATGAAGGGAAGGGAAGAATAGGAGATTAATAAGAGATGGACGAGGGGAGAAAAAATAAGGAAAAAAATATTTATTAAAACAATAGCCTGTTTATGGCCATTAAAAAAGATTTTTTGGATGATTGTTAAGAAGAATTTGTAAAATAATTAATAAACACCCCCAAACTCTTTAGAGCTAAAAATACCTTGAGAGTAAAAAACACCTCAAATTGAGGTTATATTGAATTGAGGTTATACTGAAGTGTCTTAAATAGAAGGTATTATAAGAAGTACCCCTTAAATAGGAGGATCTCTTATAGTAAGGTTTATCTTAAATAAAGGAGAGACTAGGGGTCCGAGGAGGCACCAGGGGTGTGCCAGTTTCGCGTTTCGCCTTTGGCGAAACGCAGTTTCGCGTTTCGCCTTTGGCGGATTCGCATTTCGCGTTTCGATTGACGTTTCGCTTTGACGTTTTTCGCTTCCGCTTTATAAACCTTACCCACTCCACCTTAATAATAAAATTGTTAAGTACAACCAAACCTCATTATAAGACTGACATCTGAGATTGAAAACCATCTCTTATATCGGGGGTATCTTATAATGGAGGTAGCTTATAATGAGGGGTAACTTAAATTGAAGGGTTTCGCTTAGAAAGCTCCCCAATCCAGTGTCTATCAAGAAGAGAGACTTAATCATCCCTTATATAGAGGGTAGCTTATAATGGGAGTAGCTTATAATGGGGGTATCTTAAATTGAGGGTTTCGCTTAGAAAGCTCCCCAATCCAGTGGATATCAAAAAGAGACTTAATCATCTCTTATATCGAGGGTAGCTTATAATGGGGGTAGCTTATAATGGGGGTATTTTAAATTGAGGGTTTCGCTTAAAAAGCTCCCCAATCCAGTGTCTTATCAAAGATTGTTAATGATTTCTTTCTCAAGAAAAAAAATTTTTTTATTTGTAATTTATGTGGACAATACAAAATTAGCATTTTTTAACGCTAAACAGGGTAATAAAAAAATTAATCATTGATCAAATAAATAAATCTGCGCCGCGACGATTACATAACAATAAAAGTGTATACATAAATAGATAAATTATGTAATAAATTATTGCAAATTAATTTGAATAAAAATCTTTTTTCTGATGAGATTTTTTGAATTTTTAATTAAAATTTTTTGCTGAACTTGTTGTTCGATGGAGTGGCTCCAAAAAATTCCAACTCTAAAGTCGAAGATACTGTTTGAAAAAGGTCAAAACTGGAGCCATAAAACGCCAAATTAAAGTAAAGCTGAGCCGGGTTATAGCTAGTATTTCTCTCCTTCAGCTAGTGCAAAGGGTTATTCGGCGGCTGAGAGAGAATCAGAATCTTCAGTAGACCGGACTGATGTATTATCCATTACAATATGCCGTTACCTGCACAGACAGGAGATAGTGCTGAGGCATTGTAAAGCACTTCAAAATCGAAGCAGTTCAAGCAAGTCCCGGCCCTATAATTCAAGAAGAAATTGGATACTTTTTAATGAACTTGTTATCAATGGATAGAGAATTAAATAAACTATAAGATACCAAAAAATCAAAATTTCTGACTAATTCATGACTAAAAACTTGTAAAAATAAATGCTTGTGCAAATCTCTGTAGTGGGACAACAGCCCTAAACTTGTGGCTTAGTTGGTTAACGCAGTGATTAAAAGAGGAGGAAAATAAGAGAGAGAATGGTTCAAATCCTTTCAGTGGAAATGAATTAAATTAAATGAAAGACGTTAGACGTTTTCCCTAATTAACACCTAATAAGGGTCGGAGCAGTTCAACTAATTGTAAGCCCTTGCCCAACAATTCAAGGGCTTTTAAATTTTATTTCACTTTCTGCTGGCATTTTTTTAATTTTCAATTGTAAAATGTAATCTTGTCGTCGTGACGAACTATTCTTGACAAAATGGCTTTTGAGATTATGAAAAACCTCCCAATTAAAAATTTTTTTGTTTTCTCTCTCTTCCACATTATTTCTCTTTGACTTCTTTTATATGTAAAAGAAAGCGACAAAATGGAACACCACAAAATGGTACACAACAAAAAATTGGACAAAGCTTCTCTAAATTTGCGCGACAATTTGTCAAAATTTTTGCTGTGTACCTTTTTGTCTTTACCATTTTGAGTATTTCCATTTTGTTCTAGCACCTTCTCTTTTTTGATTGATTAAATTTTTCATTGTCTACCCTCAAGCATTTTTCATTGTTTCTTGTGATGAGTTTCACGAGAAATGTTCCCTAGATAAAATTACATTATTTCAACTCAATTAAGTTTTACTGTAGATATAGTAACTTGGTAAAATTGAACTTCCTTTCACCTTTTTTACTTCCTCCAAGCTAAAAATGGTCAAACTTAGAATGTTTAGACAATATCTTTTCTATGGCTATAGGTACCATTTCTGC